TGCTGATCTGGGTCAATCAATGGATTCTTGATTCTTTAAAAGTTGACTGTAGGCATTGATAGTGCTTCAACTTGCTGTGACCAGTGAAGCAGTTCAATGAGCAATTTTTTTTTAAATGCTTTGTGTTCAGCTGCAGCTTAGAAGCTTTCATTTTCTGGCTGTGATAGCTGATGCAGCGACAAGTTCAGATCTGATTAAATGATTTTTGTATTTGTTTTTACGGGCAAAAATATGTTTTAAGTTTAATGCAAAATATTAAACAAACCCAAAATTTATTTGGTGTTTGTTTTTTTTAAAAAAATAAACAGAAGGAACCTTTCCTCACGTTGCTCATGCTTTCCCCAGTAAACACCTCTCTCCTCCCCAGGAGCAGGAGGTCGAGTTAATGTTGGAACTGGAGAGAGCTGACTGGCTGTATGGCTGCTGTTTCCAGCCTCTCCCACCTCTTCCACAGGGATGCTTCTCCCACCTTTTCCAGCCTGGACCCGCTCTCAGCCTGGCTGCTCTGCATTGCCCTGAAACACGTTGCCCGAGATCAAAAACCGCTGCTGTGGGTTTTTTCTAAAAAGAGAAGAAAGAAGTCAAATATTTCAGAATATATCAACCTACATTTTTTTTTTCTGTCATCTGCTTGCTTCGCTGTTTCCTAATTGTGTATTTTCTTTTCTTGTAAATCCCCTGCGTGGAATTGATCCCGATTCCCCAAAGGGCTGCTCGTGCCCTCTCCATCACAGGTCCCGTAGCCAGAGGAGCAAGGGCAGGACTGCAGACGGACTGGTGTCCACAAAATGGAGACCTTCCATGACTTTTGTTCTGGTTTAAGGTATTGATCTCAAATCTGTAAAGCCCACTGCTGTTTTTGCCATGTGGTATGTACCAGGCTTCTGAAGAAATCCTGCCCTTTTGAGGGCTCCAGCCCAAATTTTGTAGGTTTGGTCACCAGGAAAAGTATCCAGATTTGTAGAGGTGGGTTTGCATTTCCCTGCTGCAGCCTCGCAGGAATGAGGTGAGAAATGGTAATGCCCACGCACCAGCCTCTGCCTTCTTACAGAAACCTGCTGCTTTCATGCTTGGCGTGTTTGGCTGCGTTGTCTGCTGGTGAGCTCAAAAGCCAACGTGCCTGCCTGGCTGATGGCAGGGACCCTAGCAAAGGGACACGCATGCAGGGACGAGCAAGGCTGCGACACCGGTTTTCAAGCAGAAGTCCCTGCTGATATAACAGGTCCTGTCTGAGCTCATCTCCAACGGATGAGTAACCTTCAAACTTCTCCCACATCAGGTGGGCTTAAATTACTCAGATTTTAATACTAGGGTTGTGCGGTAGGTTTTATCTTCTGCTTCAAGACCCTACTTCACTGAAAGAAGACCTTGGCTAAATTTGCGTTTAAATGTGGTTTGCAGTGCAGTGTTACAGAAACGTCCTTTGTAAGGTCACTGGCAGCCCTTCAGCAATCAGCCTGCTTTTCCCTTCTGCTCCCTCGCAACGGGGGAACCTCGCTCCTTCCCCTTTTTCAGATTTCTCTCTATCTTTTTTTAACTTGCTCCTTGCATAGTCAGGTAAATGGGAGGTGATAGAAAAATTTTCATCCTGAATGTAATTTCCAGCTTGAAGAGCAAAAGGGGTTGCAGGTGGGTCATCTGTCAGAAGAGGTGGTCCTCAGGAGCCTACTGAGAGCTAATGCAGGATTGTCAGTGCTCTGAAGACTTTCTTAGCTGTGGGGTTAGTTTTCTCTGGTGGCAGCTCTGCCTACCTTAGAAATTCATTAATAGTTTCCAACTCTGCCTTATACAGCATGTTTCCACTGTGTTTCCTTTGCTTTAGAGAAATTCTTTAATTTACATGAAGGTTGAGAGCTGCTCTGAACCTGAGTGTCACCACAACAGCGTGTTGATGGGGGTAGAGGCGTGGATGTTTTTGTGCAGGGTGTTGATGGTGTTGGTGTGTGTAGAGGGGTGGATGGATGTTTCTGTGCAAGGTGTTGGTGGGGGCGGAGAGGGGTGGATGTTCCTCTGCAGGCTGTTGGTGGTTGCAAGGGCACCCTGGCCTGGGGAACCTGCTGGTCCAGGCTTCTGATTCAACTGGTGGTGGGGTAAGAGCCTCCTTGTGCTTCCTCCCCACTCCAGCCCCAGCACAGCAGTGGAGGGGAAGACCCTACTCAGACCTCGTGGTTGTGCCATGCACACCCCAACACTTCTCCGGGTCTTAACTGCACATTACATCAAAGGACTGGTTGCTTGTTGAGCTTTGGGCTACGTGCTTGGCCCGCTCCCCTGAAACCTGACCGTATCAAAAGACACGTAGATTTGGAGAAACGCTTCTCCCAAGCTGTACGGTCCAGTTCTCTGGTTCAGAAACGGCTCCTGCTGGTTGGTCTGACAGAGGAATGGCTCACGCAGGGGGATGGGAAAGGAGAGGCTCTAGATACAATCCCAATTTCAATGCCTTGGGCTTTGAAATGATGACAGAAAATTTTCCTGCTCGCATTTGTTCTCATTTAGCTACAGCTTGTTCACCAGGATGTTTTTCAAGGAGGGTCTGGTCAGTGTTGGCAAAGGAAAGTCTCTTATTTCCCAAGCATGCTTATCACTTTGTCCTTGACAACGATGGGAACTTTCGGCACTTTTTTTTTTTCATTTAGAGGCAAACATGAGAAAGCCTGCCTTTGCAGGCAGCATTGTATGGGTTTTCCTGTGTGCTGAATCACACAAGACAGATAAAGTTTCCCCAAAACGTTGTTGGCTTTGCAGATGCTGGACCTGGGAAAGTTGGGTGGGAGGGGGAGGAGAATTAATATCTGAACTATGAACGGAATAAATCTTGCAGTTCAAATAAAGTACCTGCCATCACTTGGGAAAATGTGTTTTAGTGTAGGGTGAACAATAAAACTTTCAGTATTTAAAACAACTTCACAAATATGGAGAGTTTGTGCCTGGACTAGAGCAGTACTGGTGGGGTGATGTTGCTTAACCACAGGAGTGGTGAATGGTTTAGATCTATAGGATAAAGCTGAGGCTGCGCACACAGAAGCAGTTGATGTTTGCCCTCTGCCCTCCCTTCATGTGAATACTTAGATGGTTTAGGCTGAGGGACATGAATCAGGAGCTCATGTTTTAAGAAAGATAGATATTTTCAAAGTACAAGATTTTTTAGATGCTGTTATCATTTTACATAGGGATCTGCTGGAGATGATGGAGTGCTTGCGGAGCAGACTTAAAAAGCATGCATTAGAAGGATGATGCCTAAATCTCCCAACTCTACGGGAGAGTAAAACCTCCGTGCTACATATGCCTTTGAAAATTTCCTTTGTGTCTTCAGAACTTTGATTATTTTATATTTGTTTTCTGTTATCTGTATGTATGATCAAACTGGTTTTATCTCTGTCTAGAGCAACGCCTGCTACTTGGTAAAGTTTGAGGACATAAGCACCCTGCATAGCTAACATCTTGTGCTGCAGGAAGGTGAATTGCAGAGGAAACCATTCCCTCTCAAGCACTGGTATAAAAGTGATGGCCAACAGGGTGTTTTTGAGAAGCTGCCAGAACTAATGTCACATACTGGCACTACCCTTGCAAGCACAAGGTTTTATTCTAGTGTCACAGGGAAGTTTTGGAAGTACAAGGAACGCCCTCTTTAGTGTCATCCCTTTTCCTAGTAGAGATATTTGGGAAATCTCTTGTTTGAAGGAAGCCAGTCAAAACAGTAAAGGCTAATCAATAAGGGCCCTGTCCTGTTGATGGGACTTGTTTTCCTTAACCCTCAGCCAGCATGCATACAGGGTTACGATGCATAAAAATGAACAGAATATTAGTATATCTTGCTAACTGAACGCTATGCGTTCTTTTTCTTCCGCTTGCGGTCCGTTAAACCTGGCCGTTCCAGCAGTGCTGCAGCAGAGAGGTGCAGTGCTAGGATCTGCCTGGGTACAAACGACTTGAGAGCGCGGCACCCACCAGCTGGCATGGCTGCTGTCCCCGACCTGGTCTCAAAAGGCTGACTAGATTTATTAAGACAGTGATCAATAGTGGGGAAAGTGCTGGAAGTGTAACCAGAGCAAGATGCTTTGCAATGGCATTCAGGTTTTGGCTGCTGTCCTCCTCCTGATTTATCATGCACAAAAAAAGCCATTCCTACCTGCAGAGTAGAAAGCAACTCAAACACGATGTGTTCATACACCCAGCAAGAAGCACTGGCTGTGTATTTCGAGAAAATCAGAGCGTAACAGTCAGCAAGAAGGAAATTTGGTGCCTGAACGTGGCTTTTAATTGTCAGTGTTAAAAAACCCCAACCCAACAACCACTCTCGGTGTAAGCCTTGTACCTGGTCCGATTTCCCTGACAAAATTTAAGTCATCGGTAGCATGAGGTTGAGGGTGGGTTGGCTTGAAATTTCCCTTTCCCCTCTATTAAAAATAGATGTAGAAGAAATTTTGCTCACTTCCCTTTTCCCAGAGGGTCATTTGGGCTGCAAGCAGAACTGCCATCCGTACATCTCAGTAATTGAACCAAGGCGGGACTTTGACTGTATCCTCCGTGGTCGCTTGGTTGGGACTGTGCCGAATGCTCTCAAAAGCGTTTATGAAGACAGTGATTCTGAATGTGTTTTAATGACTATGGAATGGCCAAGGGTTGAGATGCTCTGTTCCACGGACTGAAATTTCAGATTTCCTATAGCATATGCACTAATTCTCTTACTTTGGCTAGTGTTTTGTGGCTGCTATCATCTTATACTCCGTGGCTACCTAGACAGATCCTGCTGTTTCAGGCTGTGTTTTTTTCCTCCGCTCTTGCAGTGGAAGAGTGCACTGAATCCGAAGTCAAAGTCTCTTGTGTAGTATTTCCCAGGATTTGGACCTTTCAGTGCATGTGGAGCACTGGTCTGTCATACTGGAAGGCAGAAGGATGCAGCTGGTTTCCATCTGGGAGCTTCCAGCAGGAGCGTGCTTGTTGAGCCGTGATGCTGTGGGGCTCGGAGATTAATGCTCGTGTTTCTCTTTCCCCAGAGATCATCGACGACCTCACTAACCTGGTTGAAAACACAGACGACAAGCTTCGCAACCAGACGCGGCACGTAAAGATGGTGGACAAGAAATCAACGTCCTGCGGTAGGAAATGGCTTGAGCACAAATCCTGCCCTGTTATTAAATGATGAGAAACCAGTCTAGCGCTCAGAGGCTCTGTGCAATGTGCTTCCCTCAAGGACAGCTGCTTTTAAAAATTTGAGAAACCACCTCTCCAGACTCAAATGTGTCTTCCCCTGCTGTTGCAGGTTTGACTCACTGCGCTTGCTGCGTGTAAAAGAGTCATGACTGACTCTTTTATTTTAGATAAATAACTTCCTTAAGCCATTTGACTCCAGCATTGCACAATATTCTGATTGGAAATTGCAGAACTGTATGAAAGGAGTGCGGTATGTGTTAATTAGGTTTAAAAAACTTGCTAGCTACCAGCTCTCACAAGCCGGTCACAGCGGGGAGTGGTGCTGCAGGGACATTTCTGGTGGTGTCCTGCAGGAATGTGTTGTCAACCAAGTGGCATTCACAGTCTGCCAGACACAAAATCCTTGCTGGTGACTCTTCAAGCTACGTGCAAGCTGGTAAAGCTCAGTTGGACTCCCTTTCCATATAGCCAAAGCGAGGTTACACATCTCAAGGGAGTAAAAGCAGGTTTCCTCTATAGGATGAAGAGCTGGGGGTTTGATAGCAATGACCGTGGGAGGATGCAGAAGACGTCTGTATCTTGGGGGACGAGTGACACTGAGGAGCGACGGGGGGAGGATGTCCATGGGGAGGTGGTGGTAGTGAGACACTTCTGGAAATAACATCTGCACGTTTGGCGTCTGTGGTTCGCTTTTGGCACTCTAGAGGACTCAAAATGCTAACAAGAATAATTTCTGCTCTGTAGAAATTTGACTTATAGCCAGAAGTTAATGAAAATTGGCTTATGTAGTTTGGTATAGAGAAAGTTGAGAGCTGACTTGGTCACACATCTGGGTGGAGAAAAGGTTTCTGGCTGGTCGGGAGCTTTTATTCTGTAGAGTGATGATCTAGCAGCAAAAGTGACCGACCTCAGACTGGCAAGGAGATATTTTTTCAAGCACTGGCGATATATTTCAGGGATTTATTTGGTTCTTCATCAGTGATAACTTTTTGAAAGCTTGGTTGATATAGGTTGATGAAAATCTGTGACCTCTTCTGGAGGTTGAAGTTGGCTTATCAGAGGTGTTTGTCTCCGATTTCTCTCGTACCAACTACAGATAGAATTAAAGGTGTGACTGCAGAGTTCATGACTGACTCTTTTATTTTAGATCTTTAGTGTTGATGCAAGATGGATTCAATCTAAAAATAATTGCACTTGAATGATGCCGAGTACCCCTGTGTGCCTTTGGAGTCTCCCCTTAATTTCTATGGTTTCATTTTCCCCACAACTACAGGGAAGCGTGACACGAAATGCCTGCGCAGGGCAGGCGGTGAATCCCGTTTCATACAGGACAGCTTCTCCCTCCTTAGGTGTTTCTCCCCCTTTTTAGGCTTCTCATGCAAATGCAGCCCCCAGACAACGTTGCTGGATAATGAGCCTGTCTCTTTAACTCGGAAGCCCATGCTGGCTTCACTGGGGAATTTGAGAGGAGGAGGAGGAGGATGGGAGAGGCGAAGGCTGGGAGGATCCAGGGCTGGATTCCTTGGGGGTGACCTCTCTCACCCTTTCCACATTGAAAAACATTTTTCTGCAAGGGGTGGTGAGAAGCGCTGCCTCTCGGTGCCTGTTCCCTCTGCTCCAATAGGTCTTCCTGTGTTTGCATAACAATTTGGGCATACGTAAACACGGCATTGCCTCAGATAGCTGTTTTACTCTGCCTAAGCATGAGTTGTAGAACAATAATGCTGGAAGACATAGCCTTTAATGGCATTCTTCCCGTCCCTTTTCCACCCTTATCCCTGGCGCTGAAAATTAACTGGCATATTAAGATCAGAAAAACCCTCCGCGTACGTACAATTATTCCTTGAACAAAGCCAAGCAGCGGGAAAACTGGCACCTGCTAGGTAATTTTTTCAAACTGCTTTTTTTCCCCCCCTCCAACATTTCATTTAAATTGATAAAGTCTTTAGTAACTCCTTGGTTTCTGCGCTGCTACTTTGGATTTAAACCGGGGTGAAATGCTCAGTCTTCTCCCTTGCCCACCCCTTCCTTCCCCGGGATGGAGGCGTTTGCTTGGACCCAGTCTCTGCAATATTCCAGCATGTGCCTGTTTCCGTGTTTTTTGCCTCGTTTTTGAAATCATAATGTCTTTTTATTTTTCTGATGAGTGTCTGTACTGGAGCCATTGGCTGTGGATACAAGCAGAGCAGCCTGGCATGAACAGTGGAATAATCACCCTTTTACAAGCAAGAATGTAACGCATTAATGGGTGTGTCTTTGTTAGCAGCCAGTATAATAATAATAAAATCAAAGTATTGCTGATGAAATCCAACTTTAATCAATATTTCAACGTCTTGCTCTCATGCAAACATCCTTTCAAGCTTTGGCAGTTGTTTCCAGCGACCGGCGTGATTTATGCCGCGGCCCTCCGTACCTCGGCGCTACCTGCTCGGCGCAGGCATCGCTGGGGGCAGAAGCGTTGCGGCCAGCGGCGTCCGCACCTCTGGCCGTACTCAGTCCTGGCAGAAACCTTCAGGTTGTTTCGGGTGGGTTGTTTCGTTTGCAGCTTATTTGCAATGCCGTTTCTCTTGCTGACTCAAGAGCTGTTGACAATCCCACCCCTTGCTTCTGCCCAATGGAGGCTGCCCCGCTTTGGAGCCCGTCTCCCTTGGTGGCCCCGGGCAGCCCCACACTGGTGTCAGTGGGAACTCCCAGGGACTGCAGCAGAAGAATAACCATGGGATATACTTAAGTCTGCTGCGTTTATGAAATTATTGTTGAAAATCATCAGTCATCTGCAGGCAAATGTTTGCACGCTGCTTGGCATTGTTTTCTTTCTTTTCAGCGTATGCAGGGCGTTTAGGAGGGCTGTTAGGACATACATATTTCTTAGATTTCAGAAATTTGCACTGAGCTTTCACAAAAATGTACACACAAATCATTAATCAAATATTAGGCTGCCTTTACCAAATTT